AGATCATCATTTAATATATTAGCACATTCTTGCCTGTCTCCCTCAATGAGACCATATAAGGAGTTATCATCAGCAAATAGTTTGAAGTGTGAGGCCAATTCATCACCAATATCATTAATATATAGTAAAAACAAAAAAGGACCAAGGACTGAACCTTGGGGTACCCCTGCCTGTAATGTTTTCCAATTAGACTTATACCCATCTATGACCACTCTCTGTTGCCTATCATGAAGGTATGATGTAAACCATTCTAACATATTATTACATATACCATATTTTTTTAGTTTCTAAATTAGATCGTCATGCCAAACTCTGTCAAAGGCTTTGCTAATATCACAGAAAATCATTCTGGCCTCTTTGCCTTTGTCTAAATGTTTTACAATTTCATCTTATATAATTAATAGCTGATACACTGTGGAATCCTTAGGTAAAAAGCCTGACTGATTCTTAGAAATAATGTTATATCTTGAGAGGTAATTGAACATATACTTAAAAACATTTTTTTCAAAAAACTTGCTAAATATAGGGGTAACAGATATTGGTCTATAGTTGGATGGATCACTTTTATCTCCCTTGCCCTTATAAATTGGAGTAACTTGAGCATTATTCCATCTATTTGGTAGCTTTCCGGAAGAAATAGATTTGTTGAATAAGAGATAGAGTGGTTTCACAAGAGATTGGGAAACACCTTTTATGAATTTTGGAGGGATACTATCAGGGCCTGAAGGTTTATTAGTATTGAGTAGATCGAGCTGATCAAGAATGTCCTGTTCGGTTATGTCTATTGTTGAAAAGTTATGTCGGGGTCGGGGGCAGTCAGGAGGTAAATCGTCAGCATTCTTTTCAGTTACGGAAATCGAAGTGAAATAATCGTTAAAAGATTCCGCCTTATCTATGGGGTGGATGTTCAGTTCGCCGTTGATAATCAATGGAGAGTCATTTTCGTTTTTGTTTTTGAGATTCATAACCGATTTTGCAATATGCCACCATTTTCCGGGGGGCATGGTTTTATCAATTAAAGAAGATTGAAGTTTAGATAAATATTTTTCTTTATCTTCCCGGATTAAGGATATAACTTCATTCCGAATAGAACTAAATCTTGCCCAAGAAGATGGAGTATTATGTAGCTTAGCTTTGGAATGCTGGCGATTTCTTTGTCTAATTTTGAGTCTGATACCATTAGTCATCCAAATTTTATCATTAGGTCTTATAGTTACTGTTTTTTGGGGCACGAATAGGTCGATAGCAGTTAGGATTTTATCAGTTAAAATATTCAAGGAACTATACCGTTAACAAGGTCAAGGTGGTCATGCTATATTCAAGGCATTATACTGTTACTGAGGGATCATACAATATTCAAAGGACCATACGTTTATTAAAGGGTGAAACCGTTGTCAAGTGAATATATTGCCACCAGTTACACCTACCTTCACGAACAGTAGATGCGATCGCATACACTCTGTCATTGACGAAGGGAGTGGAAAGAGAGTAGTTGTATCCCACAGTTACGTCACCAATGGATACCACGATGTTGTTGTCATAGATACCCGTCTCGTATGGTATGACGCCACTACTTTCAGTGTACCTGTCGATAATATTAAATGTTTGAAGTTAAATAACTCGAATAAAATCCTTTTGCATTAATGTAGTGATATTCATTAGGAGTATTGCACAATTTTTATCAATGAAGTATAGAATATCTTTGCTAAAACCGAAGTATTTTTAGTTTGTTAAGTTCATTTAGAAATAACAGCAATAAGAAATAACTATTGTAATGTCACAACACAAAGATCTCGTTATGAAATAACAAAGATGTTTGGAAGCCAGTTAACTATACATTCCGACATAGCAGTAGCACCATTGCCTTCTGAAATCTCCGATGTTACAGTGTTGCCTGTGTCTCAAGCACTACCAGGACTATTTTAACCTGTAAACATATCAATGTGGTAAACCCACTGGTGAAAATACACTCTGTTGTAACCATGAATTAGGACAATTCTATATATAAATTGTATACGTAAGACAAAGCCAGTCATAACACAATTGGCAACCTCTGATACTAAACATTGATAAAACATAAGTTAAACATAAATACACCATTAAAACTGACACACGGTCACTTAACCCACACAACACATCTCCAGCACACATGCAGGCATCCACACATTGGGAGATATCAACCAGATTACATAGGACTAGTAGTTAGCGCCTGCTAAGGAAGCTCCTGCGAATTCCATAAAATTTGTATTGATTAATGCATATGCTAATTGTACTGGTTGAATAAATTGTATTTCTATGTACTGTAAAGCGCTTTAGAGTGGCTTATTCTGGCTAGATAGGGCGCTTTATCAAATGTTTATAAGTATACATACAAACATTTATGTTTATGTAATGTTTCGGACGAACCTTAGGGTCTTGAATTAAATATTCCTCATTTTCCAGATTCTACTTGAACAAGGGAGACAACTTTAATATTAAATTTATCCGTCACTTTTCCCTCTCTGATTTAAAGATAGTGAAACCACATATAAACTTCCTTTATCCTATACCCCTCACTAAAACCCAGACTTGTTCGTTGTTTAAACTCAAATTTCGACAGGACATTATGTCCAGAAGTCAAAAATGTACTTTTTGGAAATGAATGGTAATTTCGAACCACGTGTCGGTTATCTTTTATTTTATACATCAGAGGTAGACGTACAAGGAGTGACTGTGACAAGCGGAGGGAAGTTATAAGGTTAGTTGAGAGATATCCAGCTCAATCACCATGGAGAAGATTCTCTAAGTTGTAAGAAGCTGTTTTGATATGTTTGTCAGTGTACAATGAAATGTGTTTCTATCAATTACCATCCTATTAAATCTCCAGACTCCACGTAAATGTCTGTTGGAAAGGTCAAGATCAAGGTGGTGTCCTCTAAAAATACAAAAACATAATGATATATTTTATTACTTCCACGTTCTGTAGTGCATGTATGTATGTTAAATATTTTGAATATTACGTCATATAATTTCACCAATTGTGACGTCATATCAGACAAAAACATGACGTCAAAAATGTATTGCTGAACCGATCAGTGAGCACAATTTTCTGTAGTGCTCATCATAAAAAAAAACTGTACTACAATTTAGCAGTGAACTAAAATGGGAAAATTCCGCTAACTTTTTAGGTTTACAAGAAAGGAAGACACATTGATATTGCATAGGTCTATTTCGGTCGATGACACTTTGGACAATTTCACTACTTTGCGTCCACATAATTGAAGCAAACTTTATTGAATGATAAAATTACCATATTTTTCCCAAGCAAGTTCTGATAACAATAGAAACAATTAGGAAAATGGAGTAGTTGAAAGAAAATGGCGCCAAACGTTATCATTTTACATGTGTTATCCACATGTGAAATTACGAAAACTTAACGTTGTTCCAAACCAGATTATTTTTATTTATTTTTTGTGTGCCGCTAGATTTCATTCCTGTTCAAGAATACATTGGAAATTGTATTTTTTCTGCATTCATGAAAATATTGGCATGCAATGGGCGATACTAAATATTCTGTCAATCTTAACTTACGTGTAGGTACATAATAACGGTACTCTGAAATCAGCATATATTCATTGATGGTCAAGAGGCGCCACACTTGAAACTGCACGTAGCCTGTATTTCTCGGGTAGAATTCGACACTCTCAAGCAAACCACAACAACCCAACGCGGGGGCGGTATCTGTCAAAATAACCTGCTGCCCTGCAGGGGAATTACAAAAGGTAATAAAGTGGTATAGCCACCCCCTCACACTGTAACGTATTATGACCTAATTATCATTATGATTTTGACCCGAAAAGGGGAGCGGGTGTTAATGTAACATAATACATTATCAATGAAAATTGTGATAATGACACGACGGTAGCAGAGAGGGGAGGGTGTGTCACACAATGTGATGTCATTATCATAGCGATCAGGGTCTAGGGTCTAGTTGTTCAAAACTGGTTTACTTGCTGCTTGAACATGATAACAACTGAAAAAGAATGAATTTGTGGTCATCTTTCTACCATGTTCACATGGGTTAGCTAACAGCAACTTTGATGTCATATAAGAAAGAATGAAATTAAGGATGATACAAAAAAAGACAACATGAAGGAAATAACAAAACAAAATGTAAGATATACTGATTTCTACCCAGGTGTTACGCAAGAGTAAGCGCATCTTGCACCACATGTAACGTCGGTTGTGATGTATCTTGTCAATGACATAATCAATATTTCCGTTATCATGATTAAAACTAAAATATCAACGTTGGAAATCATGTCAAGGTGACCACCGTATTGTTTAACATATATTGAAGTATCTGTTGTCTAAAACCACGCCTCTGTACTTTTTAGTCAACAGGATGCACCTATCCGGAAACCTTAAAATGCTAAATCTAATATCCAAATTAGAATTACACATTTGAATATTGAATCAACTGCCACATGTTACCTCTAAATGTAAAGACCGCTGGAAGTTATTGCAAAGAAAAGGAACGTTCATGATCGTGGAGGCAATACTAACCCGTAGTACCAGGAAGTGTTGTTATGTAATTTGTCACATCTTTTGGTCCTTGGTTACATGCAGAGTCTGTAATTACCAGAAAATCAATCCTTTACTCTTTTAATGATACCGGTTATGGTTTATTTCATTAAAAAATGGGGAAAAGATGTTTTTTTTTGTCTAGGGAAGTGAATGGCCTACTTTGGGATGTTGGCATAAATATTTAAGTAACAGTCATTTACATGCATGTTCCATATCACAATAAATATCAAAATATTAGTTTACTTTCAATTGCTTGTTAATTAACGGATAATTATTCTGAAAGTTATGTTCTCGAATTATATTGTCTAAAGGAGTTTAGTACTTGAGCTGCCAGGTCAAGTATGTTAATTTCAAAATGACTTCTAATGTGAAACTATTTCTTTTTGCCTAAGAAGCAAAATCACAGGTGTTGAACCGACTTGAGGCCTAAATGACATTAATTCTCTGAGTGAGAGGCCAACAGGTTTGCTAAAATGTATAACCTTGATCAGTATTTATGGTCATAGGTATTAAAAATGCTAAAATCGTCAAATGACCTTTTTTTTGTGGACTATGAGGCATATAGTAATGACACTTATTTCATAACCGTAGTAGATAGAATAATATCTTCTAAAGAACCACAATGACTTGAGTAATTATATCTAGCTTACAGCTTTAAGGTATTAAAAAATAATAAATGATAAATCCAATATGATCCCAATATCACATTTTCAATATGGATAAAATATTACGTGCTTCAGTTTGAAAGTACTTCACTCCAGCAAGCTTAATGCCAAATATAAAAATAACATAGGCACAATTTATCGTAAGAAGTTGGAGATGAATGAAATATAGTTTTGAACATGTGTTGTCATTCTAAATAAATTTGGTGATGCTATGATAAAACAAGTAATTATAATATTATGCAAGTATATTTTCAAAGTATGTAAATAGCAACATATGTATGATGCATCAGTGCACTCATACTTAGAAAATTACAAAACCGAGCGATATTTGAGCTAGTGATCATCTGTAAAACCGAATTAAATGTCATGATGTGGTATATTTGTTTTTATGTAATCACAGAAACGTCGACAACATAAGTTTCATTTTTTATAGTTTGTTAATTACATGGAATGACCTAGATTATTATTGGTGTATAACCAAGCTCTAAAGAATTCAGGAAGCTAAGGTGCAATTCTTTTGTTTACAAATACTTGCAATCATAACATTCGAATATTCTCCAAGATGCGCTAACCCACATAATGGAATATGTTTGAACGGAGCTTTGTTGCATACCCTTATAAATGTTAGAAAGATGCATTTCAAACTTGAAATGCAAATAGGTATTAACTGTCACATTGAATGTTGATAATGCATAGACAGAAGTTAGTAAACCGTTCAATATCAGAATACAGAATAGAATATAGACAACAAGTTACTTATCAGATATATACACTAGATATATATTCCGTCTTTGCGTATTGCAGAGTTATCTTCTCCTTTGAGCAGGTATTGATCGTTACGTCATTGGTTTGTGAGAGTAACGTCATCAATTTTTGAGAAAACGACGTAATTTTCTCACACAAACCAATGACGTAACAATCAATACCTGCTCACAAGAGAAGATTACTCTGCAATACGCAAAGACGGAATACATCATAATAAATTATAAATTTATGAAAAACGGCAATTTAATAAATTAACAAAATCATAATAAAAAAATAAAAGCATGAAATCAGGTCGTTACTTGATTATTTCCTATCACAATCGGCAGTAATAATATTCAAACAGGGATTTGATGGTTCAACATCACAATTAAATTCAATACTCTACATACAGTAACTGATAATACGCTTCCATAGCTAACTATATAACATGTATTATATATACGATATGTATTATATATATTATGTATGTATTATGTATATCATATGTATTATATAAAGCAACTTACCAACTGGTTCCAAATGATAATGAATCATGAAAATGTACAACATGAGACAAAGATGATTTCCATGCATTCTTCTTTTGTTGCACATTATACCTAGATAGTAATATACGGTATAATCTCAGAGATCTACGTCTCATACACTTAGTCACAACCTGTCCCCACAACCTAATTCCCATGGCATGCAGGATTGTATGAAATGAGGACTTATTGATATCGATTTGTTTGTTCCGGTTCAGGTTTGATTTGTACAATTCATAGTTACGTTTGTAAACAGTTTACCACAATAACAGAACACATGTATTATGTTGGATTGAATATCAAACGTATTCGCTTACCTTAGTAGGTCAAGCTTACGATAATATATTTGAACTTTGTACTTTTAGTATATGTTACTAAAAAGAAAACGAGAACATATGTTGACATACTTAAAAAAACTGATTAGTGATTTGTTAAAAGTGTTATAACTAAAGGTGGTTCACTTTATGTCAAATTTTCTAATGTATAGTCAGCTTACGTAAATGTCTGACATGGTTCTTTACCTAATATGTTTGTTGTACAATGTCTGGAGTTCGTGTTAGGACTACGGTATTAGAGAAACACGCGTGTTTTCGGTTTCTATGACGACCGAATGACTAATAAAAGCACTGAAATGTCCGGGTTTTAACTCCTGACGTTTGAACAATCAAGTTATTCACCTCTTAATAATTAATTAAATAAAAAAGATAAAAATGAAATGAATGACAAGAAGTAGAGATATGAAGTCAAATTTAAAGAAATAGTGAACTATATAAAATTGATATTCAAGAACATTTTGTTGATAATGCTTTGCTTATTTTATCATTATCCTTTTTAATAAAAGTTTTGCAATGTATAGTTTTATCAAAGTTTTAGTCATATCAGAAAAAAATAGTTTTACAGTTTTTGGCAGTGGTACGGGTTCTACTGCACAAGTTTCAATCGCGAAGAAAACGCTTACACAGATGATTATTCATTGAAACTATACTTCCTAAAGACAATATGACGTAGTTGCTGTGCAAAACACACATATGAATAACCAGCGTTCTACTTACTGAACTGAAATATATCCATCGAAATGTATGTCAATGATATGCCATTATAACGGGAACGATAATGTATGTCAATGATATGCCATTATAACGTGAACGATAATGTATGTCAAGAGTAGGCCATCATAACGTGAACGATAATGTATGTCAATGATATGCCATTATAACGTGAACGATAATGTATGTCAAGAGTAGGCCATCATAACGTGAACGATAATGTATGTGAAGGATATGCCATCATAACGTGAACGATAATGTATGTCAAGGATATGCCATTATAACGTGAACGATAATGTATGTCAAGGATATGCCATCATAACGTGAACGATAATGTTTGTCAAGGGTAGACCATCATAACGTGAACGATAATGTATGTGAAGGATATGCCATTATAACGTGAACGATAATGTATGTCAATGGTATGCAATGATAACGTGAACGATAATGTATGTCAAGGATATGCCATTATAACGTGAACGTTAATGTATGTCAATGATATGCCATCATAACTTGAACGATAATGTATGTCAAGAGTAGGCCATCATAACGTGAACGATAATGTATGTGAAGGATATGACATTATAACGTGAACGATAATGTATGTCAAGATATGCCACCATAACGTGAACGATAATGTTTGTCAAGGGTAGGCCATCATAACGTGAACGATAATGTATGTCAAGGATATGCCATTATAACGTGAACGATAATGTATGTCAAGGATATGCCACCATAACGTGAACGATAATGTTTGTCAAGGGTAGACCATCATAACGTGAACGATAATGTATGTGAAGGATATGCCATTATAACGTGAACGATAATGTATGTCAAGGATATGCCATCATAACGTGAACGATAATGTATGTCAAGGATATGCAATGATAACGTGAACGATAATGTATGTCAAGGATATGCCATGATAACGTGAACAATAATGTATGTCAAGGATATGTCTTCATAACGTGAACGATAATGTTTGTCAAGGGTAGACCATCATAACGTGAACGATAATGTATGTGAAGGATATGCCATTATAATATGAACGATAATGCCCAGACGGTAACATGTACTATTCGTTTATTTACAGACGTTTGTTGCAGCATTTCCTGATAAATACATTGGTCTCTAAAGTGTGACCATCCAGCCGGGTCGTGACGAGGCCTGACTTGTACACATTAGCGTCGTACTGAATAGTTCCCGTATGTCGTGTCAATTAATGCAATTGACGTCAATGGTAGGTTGACTTCTCTCCACACAATGATATGTAAATAATCATTGTAAGATGACTAAAATTGCTGTGTTAATATTAACTCTGAGTTGCGCAACGTCACGATTACAATGTTTCTGAAACGTCTAAGAAACGGTAGAGAAGTGTTTGTTTGAATATCCCACGATTTCAATTTGAATAAAATATGCAGTTTTCTAGTACAATTACTGATGCAATTAAACAGCAAATGTCATGCATATCGATACAATGTGTTATCATCCATACTATTTTATATTCCGTACAAAATATTATTTCACCTCATATCATTCACCTTTCTTATGACTAATAATATATACTATATTGAATATGATAAGTTGTGCAACTGAATATCAAATCAAATGATGCAAGATTTAATATAAAGTGATATTTTTAGTATAAAGGAAATCAAACGATTAAGAATCCCCGTGCCAAAACCTGAAGCTAAGTGTTGGAAACTATAGACTAAACATCGGTCAAGTATGATTGTCTCAACAGATACGCTAATGTCAACAGATCAAAAAGAACTAAACATTTAAACAAATCATAGTCGTCTCAACCAATTGACCAAGCGATTTAGTATATCTGTTTCGCCAGGAATACATTAAGTTCAAATTAATTATACTGATGTGAATGATTGATTTTCGACCCTTTTTGTTTTCACATCAATATGTTATCATTTTACACCGCCTTATCGATAGCTGACAATCAAAATGTCACGAAAGTTTGTTTTCATCAAGATAAAAATTGAAGTAAGCTTATCGGCGTATTGTTGCTGATGCATGTATTTTCTGTTTACCTGTTTACCTGTGTTGCCATCAGTTATCTGTTTCATAAAAGTTCACCTGTGCTTTCAAATATTGCCTGTTTTTCATAATAATTTATAGGTGCTGTAATCGAATGTATGTCTGTTTCAATAAAATTTGAATGCGTTGTCACATAATGTTTGTATCAAAAATGTACCTGTAACAGCTTTAAATGTCTGTTAAATTAAAGTGCTTTCATCTACTGTCCCTATCATACATTTCTTCATTGTCGTCATTTTGTTTGTATTGTCATTTATTGCCAGTTATATTTTATTGACTTGTGCTGTTATCTGTTTTAGAAAACAAGACGGTTTATCTTTATCGTTATTTCTGGGTTGTTTTATTCATGTTTTCCTGTGCTGTTTAAGGTGTTAATTATATATCATATGACAGGATAGCAGATGTTCAATCCCTGCATTGAGCATGCGTCCCTACAAACAATTGTGTATTGTGCACCTTGTTCTTAACAATCATACCAAACACAGTAAAATAGTCTTGAAACTTATTACGAATATGTTCTTACAGGGGCGCCTATTAGACTTTGGAAGATTCAGTTTGATTTAAACATATTTTTATTTGCATCTAATATACAAAAGGGATCGCACAAGTTGTCCAACCTATGTAAAGCCCTTTCCCTATAACATAATGAAATATATATATACAAGATGGCAATTTTTAAATTAATTAATATTTTCAACTAAGTTTAGTGTTACTGACAGAGAGAGAGTGAGAGAGAGTGAGGGGGGGGGGGGGGGGGGGGGGAGGGGGGGAGGTCCTAGCTTGAAGATATTTAATTTGAGATCGTGGTAGTGATATTCTCCGACACAGGCGGCACCAGTAACACTGTCCACTATTCAAAACACTCTGCTTTTCTAATGTTCATCACTTCCCGTGCCTCTGTTGCCATCTCCTTGTAAATTCGGAAGATTCAGTTATAAAGCGGTATCATTTTTTGTTCAAATGACACATTTTCCTCACTGTTTACGAAAATGTGTCATGCTGGTTATATACCTGTCCCCTTTCTTTATGAAACTGGAAAACAAACTTAAGGTACAAACATTCTGGTTCGCCCGTTGTCAGTATAATGTGACCGGGTGGGGTGTCCTGCTGGGTGTCTTCGGCAGGATGTTTCAATGAGGTAGCACTATAAAGTCGGCATCAATTTCGCGATATCACAAGGAGACAGACACGAACATATCGCAGCCTCCCAAAACACACACACATTTACTTCACGCATGCATCTTGCACACGTTAAAACGAAACCAACCCAACGATATTCTTTAAGTTTCATGCTCTTCTGGGCATATATGTTCTTTTGACCAATAGCCTAATCAACAAGGAAATACCGGTTCGAAGTTGTTTCAATATACGCTGCAAAAATTTAGGTTTGTTTTGAGGGTTTAACGTCAAGCTATAAATATTTTGTTACCGCGTCTTTATGACACGAACATTGTAATGGTCCCCATTACAATTAGTACTTATTATTGTAATGATCCCCATTACAATCAGTACTTGTTATTGTAATGGTCCCCATTACAATTAGTACTTGTTATTGTAATGGTCCCCATTACAATTTGTACTTGTTATTGTAATAATTTGGCACATGTGTACCTAGAAATCTTGTGTTAGTGGGACATAACATATTTCGTTTTTGATGCCACCTGCCTTTGTGGTGTTTTGGTTTTTACTTGGCTTTCTGACTTCGTTCACGTGTGATGACTTTAATGGTGTTTTGGTTTTTACTTGGCTTTCTGACTTCGTTCACGTGTGATGACCTTGATGGTGTTTTGGTTTTTACTTGGCTTTCTGACTTCGTTCACGTGTGATGACCTTTTGTGGTGTTTTGGTTTTTACTTGGCTTTCTGACTTCGTTCACGTGTGATGATCTTTTGTGGTGTTTTGGTTTTTACTTGGCTTTCTGACTTCGTTCACGTGTGATGATCTTTTGTGGTGTTTTGGTTTTTACTTGGCTTTCTGACTTCGTTCACGTGTGATGATCTTTTGTGGTGTTTTGGTTTTTACTTGGCTTTCTGACTTCGTTCACGTGTGATGATCTTTTGTGGTGTTTTGGTTTTTACTTGGCTTTCTGACTTCGTTCACGTGTGATGATCTTTTGTGGTGTTTTGGTTTTTACTTGGCTTTCTGACTTCGTTCACGTGTGATGACCTTTTTTGGTGTTTTGGTTTTTACTTGGCTTTCTGACTTCTTTCACGTGTGATGATCTTTTGTGGTGTTTTGGTTTTTACTTGGCTATCTGACTTTTTTCACGTGTGATGATCTTTTGTGGTGTTTTGGTTTTTACTTGGCTTTCTGACTTCGTTCACGTGTGATGATCTTTTTGAATATTTACCTTGTTTATCTCTATCATACATAACTAAAATACACTGGATATTGATAAACAGAATTTTATTAATAAATAAAACACACATTTCTTCTAATATGTAGAGTTGGTCTCCATCAGGTACAATTGGAAGCCCCGTTTCACCGATTTTAATCAGACAGTGTAACCCCTGAAACAGATCAACATCGAAAATTCAATCGATTAGATTCAGTGTCTGAAACTGATACTCAATAATTTATAACTAGTAGTTTTTGCGGTGGTATTGTATTCTCGCTTTTCCCAATTGGGCCTTTTAAGGGTGGACAAGGTAATTATGATGCGTGAATCGAACTCATTCAGAAGTGGGCTAGCATAGCGAACGCACACAGAATCGTTTTTCAAATCTTGACAAAAATGCTTTTGAGGACATTGACTTATCATCTTTATTATTTATTGCAAAACACTATTGCAAGTTACTTTAAACTGTATTTTTCTTAATCATTCAACATGATTATTACATAAAGATAATCTCTGAGGGATAAGAAAGCAAGCTTAAACCTTATATTAATTCCTCTCCCATGTTGTTAAGTAGACAATACGCCAGACACAAACAATCAACAATTTCCATAGTTAGGTGATAATATCTATACGTACGGTGCGATATCCCACTCATTTCTCCAGGGTGTCCAGCTGTAAGTGTCGGTCAGGGGGGTGGGGAGGTCAGAGGTCACGGCTACAGCTGTAAACAAAAAGTGATGTCCTAAATCCATGAACGGATAATATATATATATATATATATATATATAACCACGTTCTAACGCTAATAAAGCATCGTTTATATGTGGAGGCATGCTCGGACTTTATACAGGCGTCATTTATATTAACGGGCATTATTCGTACTCAAGTGTTCCAACCGGAATCTAGGACGGACAGGGTGCTGACCAAGGAGGAGGGGTGTGTGTGTGTGTGTGTGTGTGTGTGTGTGTGTGTGTGTATTTATTACTAAATAATAAATTACTAAATAATAAAACATCATGCATAATTTATATAATTATATTCTAGTAATTCAACAAGGGTAATTTGGATTACCGATAACAAAGGAAGTAATATATAGAATAAAGGACAACACTTTCACTGTCAACCTATACTTTTCTTTGTTTGATGAATAAGCATGATCACTCATGACACATGGGAACAGTAAATGATTTTATCTACCATTTTCTTGTATGTACTTCTGATATTGATATTAAATTAACAGAAGGTTAGGAAATATCAAGGAAAAAACATGTGTACATTTACGTTACAATATATGCTCAACACACATATTTTACTATAAAGAGATAGAACTGGATTTTATTTTTGTCATACGAAGTACTCAAATCTTATCGGTCAAACTTGCTTTCCAAACCACCAAGGAAAGAAAAACCTTAAGGCAATTCAAATACATAGAAAACATCGTCCTAATGGTGTTACATGGCGAGAGACTATAACGTTGCTTCTTTATTTAAATTGTGCAGTTGAAATCATTACCCCGGATGAAGTGTGAACGGTGTATTCCGTCTTTGCGTATTGCAGAGTTATCTTCTCTTGGGAGCAGGTATTGATTGTTACGTCATTGGTTTGTGTGAGAAAATTACGTCGTTTTGTTCAAAAATTGATGACGTTACTCTCACAAACCAGTAACGTAGCAATCAATACCTGCTCCCAGGAGAAGATAACTCTGCAATACGCAAAGACGGAATATGCATCTTTGATCCAATTTTTGTTATTTCCCCCATGAAAACTTATGTAAATTTAGTCATTAGCATTGACTTGGTTATATATAGCGTTTTCGTTGACACAGATTCACACAATTTAAAAAAAAATGTTTGTTTTTTTCGTTTTAAAATCCCAATGATTATCGAAAAGTTGTCATCAATGATTTACAAAAATAGTCGTGTGTTTGACGATGCTGTCTGCTTGTGTCAGAGCTGACTTGAGGCCTATGTATACTGACCGTGGTAGGATGTTTGTCTGACTAGAGGTCTATGTGTACTGACCGTGGTAGGATGTTTGTCTAACTTGAGGCCTATGTGTACTGACCGTGGTAGGATGTTTGTCTGACTTGAGGCTTATGTGTACTGACCGTGGTAGGATGTTTGTCTGACTTGAGGCCTATGTGTACTGACCGTGGTAGGATGTTTGTCTGACTTGAGGTCTATGTGTACTGACCGTGGTAGGATGTTTGTCTGACTTGAGGCCTATGTGTACTGACCGTGGTAGGATATATGTCTGACTTGAGGCCCGTGGTAGGATATTTGTCTGACTTGAGGTATATGTGTACTGACCGTGGTAGGATGTTTGTCTGACTTGAGGCCTATGAGTACTGACCGAGGTAGGATGTATGTCTGACTTGAGGTCTATGTGTACTGCCCGTGGTAGGATGTGTGTCTGACTTGAGGCCTATGAGTACTGACCGTGGTAGGATGTGTGTCTGACTTGATGTCTATGTGTACCAACCGTGGTAGGATGTTTGTCTGACTTGAGGACTATGTGTACTGACCGTGGTAGGATGTTTGTCTGACTTCAGGTCTATGTGTACTGACCGTGGTAGGATGTGTGCCTGACTTGAGGCCTATGTGTACTGACCGAGGTAGGATGTATGTCTGACTTGAGGTCTATGTGTACTGCCCGTGGTAGGATGTGTGTCTGACTTGAGGCCTATGTGTACCGACCGTGGTAGGATGTTTGTCTGACTTGAGGTCGATGTGTACTGACCGTGGTAGGATGTGTGTCTGACTTGAGGCCTATGTGTACCGACCGTGGTAGGATGTTTGTCTGACTTGAGGGCTATGTGTACTGACCGTGGTAGGATGTTTGTCTGACTTCAGGTCTATGTGTACTGACCGTGGTAGGATGTGTGTCTGACTTGAGGCCTATGTGTACTGACCGAGGTAGGATGTATGTCTGACTTGAGGTCTATGTGTACTGACCGTGGTAGGATGTGTGTCCGACTTGAGGCCTATGTATACTGACCGTGGTAGAATGTTTGTCTGACTTGAGGGCTATGTGTACTGACTGTATGACGATGCTGTCTGCTTGTGTCTGACTTGAGGCCTATGTGTACTGACCGTGGTAGGATGTTTGTCTGACTTGAGGTCTATGTGTACTGACTGTATGACGATGCTGTCTGCTTGTGTCTGACTTGAGGCCTATGTGTACTGACCGTGGTAGGATGTGTGTCTGACTTGAGGCCTATGTATACTGACCGTGGTAGAATGTTTGTCTGACTTGAGGCCTATGTGTACTGACCGTGGTAGGATATGTATCTGACTTGAGGTCTATGTGTACTGACCGTGGTAGGATGTATGTCTGACTTGAGGTCTATGTGTACTGACCGGGGTAGGATGTGTGTCTGACTAGAGGTCTATGTGTACTGACCGTGGTAGGATGTGTGTCTGACTTGAGGCCTATGTGTACTGACCGTGGTAGGATGTGTGTCTGACTAGAGGCCTATGTGTACTGACTGTATGACGATGCTGTCTGCTTGTGTCTGACTTGAGGCCTATGTGTTTTGACCGTGGTAGGATGTGTGTCTGACTTGAAGTCTATGTGTACTGACCGTGGTAGGATGTGTGTCTGACTTGAGGTCTATGTGTACTGACCGTGGTAGGATGTTTGTTTGACTTGAGGCCTTTGTGTACTAACTTACGTTGCACCTGTATTCGTTCAACAGGCCGTTTGCATTTCGGTAACCATGACAGAAATTTGCTGCAAATCCCATGATAACATCGTCCTTGAGTCCTAGGAGGCGATTTCTTGGGTATGCTGATCTTTTCCGGTGAAAATGCAACCTTTTTTGGAGTTGCGATTTTTTTTATGTGGTTCTTAGATATTTTCCAAGCCTTCCATTTGGTGCGGACCGTGTTTGTTCCCTCGTTTAGTTTGTTTTTCAAACCCTGCCAACCCCGTCTGAGTACACCGCAGCTGAACAGCAAAGTACAATATCAAAATTAGGTATAGTAATGAACTAGCTTATGTTCACATACTTAATGTCAGGTTCATTACTGGATAACGATGAGATATCAATTTAATGTCGAGATATGTCATCCCGACTCTCCAAGTAGAACGCACCATTGTCTTGAAACAAATGTAATGTCTTTTACCACATTTGAAAGCTTTCTTGTGTAGAAAATCTAAAATCCAAAAAGCCTACTTTGTATCTGACAGACGACAAACAACTATCGAGTCTTTGGTATTTCTTTACGTACAGAGCTACAATCACAATTAATTCCAACGCAAAGGAGATAAGAACAAAATCGTTAAAATTGAAAACTGCAGGCCTCGTGAATGGGGCATATATAATGAAGCTGACGCACGTTGTCGTATAGAAGGGTAACCATGTATAAACTGTATTAAAGACTACGGGGAAACATTGACGAGGACACTATTTATACTTCCAGATTGGTAATAGATTTACTTGAAAACAGTATTAAATGTAAAAGGTTTAGTTATATAACATGTTTTTAGTAAAAATAGTTCAAATAAAACTTACTCCAATGACCATTTCTTCGGTGAGCATGCGTAGCCATACCGGATGTACCGATACACCATGAACACACACATAATGACGATAAGAACCACGGCTACTACGCATGCGGTGAACCAGAGGATGTTTCCGGTATGGTTGAAAAGACTATCGCCCAGTGCTGGGCTGACGAGGATGTTAGCGTAAGCGTAGGATCTATGGCCATGAGAATATGCCTGGAAACAAGACACATCAATTGATTAAATGTCACCTATAGTTTATACATATATTTCGGGAATTGTTTGTTTTCTCGTCGAAAAAATAAGGGAAATATACCAATATGAATTTCAGTATCTCTAAGATATTTTTCACATTGAAGAAACCGAACACGAATATACATTATGTGTATAACACTTTAATGAAACGAGCTAGAGGGTAGGGATTTTCCAAATAACAAAGCTTTGACGAGTTAACAAAACGCTATAAATCTTGAGGACGAGTTTAATTTATCTAAAACGGAATAAAAAAAAATCATTATCATTTTTATCACATCACCGATATTGTACGCGAATATTGCATCACCATACATCTGATATTTTGAATGATACTATTCACCAAATCGATGTAAAAAGTTCCCTTGCTGGCTGACACGTACAAGGTCGTGTATTTTACCTGTATCGTCACATACAGGATCGTGTATCTTACCTGTATCGTCACATACAGGGTCGTGTATCTTACCTGTATCGTTATATACAAGGTCGTGTATCTTACCTGTATCGTTACAAACAAGGTCGTGTATATTACCTGTATCGTTACATACACTTACAGGGTCGTGTACCTTACCTGTATCGTTACAAACACTTACAGGGTCGTGTACCTTACCTGTATCATTACATACAAGTTCGTGTATCTTGTTTAAGGGTATAAATGCAGGGGTACCTCAGGGATCTGTTCTGGGACCTTTTCTATTTCTTCTTTATATTAATGACATCACTGACAATGTTTCAACTAATATTAAGCTTTTTGCAGATGACACCTCCTTATATGTAATTATAGATGAAAACCCAGCACATGCAGCACAAGTTCTAACAAATGATCTCTCTAACATTGGTGAACGGGCAGGTATATGGGACCTCAAATTTAACCATAACAAAACTAAATCTGTAATATTTTCTAGAAAACATAACAAAAATCACCCTCCAATAACTTTCCAAAACAGCAAAATCACTGACTCAACAGCACATACACACTTAGGACTGACTTTAAAAGATGATGCTTCTTGGAAACAACACATTCTGAATATATATGAAAAAGCTTATAGTAGATTAAATATTCTTTGTTACATTAAAACTAAAGTCAATCGTAAATCATTACTTAAAATGTACATAGCATTTATTAGGCCAATTTTGGAATATGCAGACATAGTATGGGATAATTGCACTCAACAATCTAAAGAACTTCTAGAATCTAATCAATTAGAAGCAGCCAGAATCATTACTGGACTTCGATCTGGAACATCTCATTATAAACTTTATAATATACTTGGTTGGGAAACTCTGTCAACAAGAAGAAATAAACACAAACACATAATGATGTATAAAATAATGCATTGGCTGTCCCCTCAATACTTACAAGATGTCTTAAATCCTTTCGTTCACAATCAAAACAATAATCCCAATTCCCTCAGACAAACAAGATTGTCAACTTAGAAACTTCTGTAGCAATTTAAATTTTGATTTATTCAATGACCACTTAACTGACCGTCCCTCTTGTGCTTGCTCTTTTGAATATGAAATAGTTTTCCATTGATCTCAGACTTACTTTATTTACTTCTGTTGATAATTATGGAAATCATAACCATATTGATACAAACATTTTTCTACAAGGCTGTCCTGATTGTGATGGACTAACAAACAGACAGTGACTTAATGATGTACAGTTATTTATTGGTAAATTGAGGCGTTTTAATCTCTATATGATCTAACCAGCCATGACCTTATACTTTATACTTTTATACTTTACTATTCCTATTTCAATTTTACTCCACAAATAAGTAACTTAACCTACTTTTCTATAAATGGTATTCTTCTACGGACATAGGAGTTTTAAGTTGAGTATCTTTGTTTGTTGTTGTTTGTTGTAATAATTGTTCAATCTGTCTTGTTTTACAGTTTCCATCTTATACATTGAATTACACATTGACTAGCTATCTGTTTGCATATAAAATTATAATAACTTAACAGTTTTGGCAACTGTGACCTGTGCATATATTATATATATATTACCTGTATCGTTACATACACGGTCGTGTATATTACCTGTATAGTTACATACATGTCGTGTATATTACCTATATCGATATATACAAGGTCGTGTATCTTACCTGTATCGTTACATACACGGTCGTGTATCTTACCTGTATCGTTACATACACGATCGTGTATATTACCTGTATAGTTACATACACGGTCGTGTATATTACCTGTATAGTTACATACATGTCGTGTATATTACCTATATCGATATATACAAGGTCGTGTATCTTACCTGTATCGTTACATACACG